AAGGTACGTAGCTGTTTTCTTGAAGTCCTTTTGCATTAACTCGAAGTTAGCGCAGTCATTAACTGTCATCGGGCTTGAGCAAACATTCCTATGAAGTGAAGCTGGATTAAGTGACTTTTATAATGCCATAGAGGTATGTGAGACGAGAACCTTTTCACTTATCGGTCACTCTAAATTCGACCTCAATTGCTACTGGTTATTAGTTGAAGGACGGAGAATCATTTGCCTTATTGCCTTACATTTTCGAGACTGGAATGGGTGATAATTGCAACTTACGATGTCGGAAGAAGGGGCTTAATGAATGCAGATTGTTGGTAAAGAATTGGAGTAAAGCTTAAGCCTGTGTGCCCTGTTGAAAGGTGGATAAAAGCCAATCCTTGACTTCCAGCACACCTCCGAGTTAAAGGAGCCCAAACAGGGGAAGAAAAAATTCAACGCTATAATGGACATAATCGGTGACTTACCTCAGATACTGGACTTAATTGCCTCGGGAATTGAAAAAACTATCGGGTAAGATTCACTTTTGAATGAATCGATTCCCCAAATATTGTCGTTTAAGAGGCCACAAATAATGAAAGCGTTTCGATGAATTATTTACCGTTAGATCGTATGGAAGTACAGCACATCATCGAATATCATTTACTCGTGGGGTGACACCTCTGCAACTTGGAAAAGGCATTTATGTAGAAAACTCAAAAAGTTGAGTTGATCCGACACTCGCTTGGCAGTCCAGTTCATAACATTTCAGAGGAAACTGACGTTTAGGCCAATGAATGCACGCAGTAGAGGATCATCGTTTCCTTCTATTTTAGCGTTTTCGACTGGCAAGTACCATGGATTACTTGGTTTTGCCTCATTTTTCTGGTTATCTTCACTCTGATACTCTACTTCGTTCCGATAAGGGTGGTTCTATGCATAACAGGTGAGTTTATAGGCTCAACAACGCACACCTGGACTTGTTTTCTATCTGGTTATGGAATGTCCTCACTTATTTCCATGCCTAAAATCAAAACGACCCTCGAATCTTGTGTTTTTGAGTAACATTCTTTTTGACTTTGTTAGAAATCCGTAGTTTTCGTTTGAATTAACGGCTTACTTTTACTATTCATCCTTCGTGGTGCTATGAAAGATGTTATTGCATTGTCGCATCGGATAGCCATGTTTATGACCGCCTTGCAGCACACCGTCAGCCCATTCGACGTGCTTTGGAAATCGTTCTGCAACACTAATGGAACCTCAGACAAGTGCTGTGCTACATTTAAAAGGGTACTGCTGCTCAAAAGAGCTTCAAACCACTTCTTCACATACATTATTTTAGGATCGTTTAGATAAATTTTTTAGTCACCCAAACGAATACACCTTGATGTCAACAATTGAGGAGGGCAGCACAGCTGTTTCCGCTCAGGTATACCCGTGTTTATCAAAATAAATCGAGCAAAGTCCAATTTTCTTCCCACCACTTGTCGTGTAACAAGTGGTGGGAGAAATGTCGCGAGCACGTCTATGATTGATGGGGTACATTAAAGGCAGAAATGCATTTTGCTTTATTGTTACAGTGCTTGCAAATTGGGTAACTTGCTCAATGTGCACCACTGACCTCCCACATCCTGAATAAAGTTACTTTGGTTGAAAATACCTGCCTGACAAGCGACATCTGAAGTTGCAGTGATGTTGACGCTATGACTTAATGCTTATTCTCATCATCAGGATAGGCAACACCTCAAAATTCGATCAGATAGAGACTGAATAGACAAGTTTGCTTGTATATGTATTCGTTGGCAGTGCTCCGATTTTTCGACTAACTTTTAAAAAAGAAGACATTCAACACAAAAGGCTTTTTGTCGGATGGTAGGCACTAATCTGCTGACAAGGAAACTTCTGAGGCCGAACAGCAGATACACCTTCTCAACGTTTAACGTTCTCGCACGTATCCCTTCGAGACCAGAAACTGTGAGTCTTGCCTCTACCAATACTTCTTCTTTCCAACAAGAATGCTCGGATTCTAAAAAACAGCCCTCCTGCCATTAGCAGCTGAACTGTTTTACATCCTTTCCCGTCCATTAAATGGCATTTCCACGCAAAGTATCTAAAACAATTTTGGGACTGAAGGCCTAGTAGATTTGTTGTGAGGTATTGTTGCACTAGTCCATCAATGCACCCATCCATCTCAAATTTTCTCGTTTCATTTAGTACACTTATTGTACAGTAGAAGTGTCATTGGAAAAGTCATAATGCTCAGCACCTTCTCTCCAAAGTTACGGAAATACCTGTTTATTTGACTGGAATATGGCAATGGTATAAGTAGGGACACACTGGACGAATGCCGCAGAAATGCTAATGCGTCACATAAACCGTAGCCTAGCATTAATCCTTCGTCCATCTGAAGAGGTTTACATCTTGTTCTCGGCCAAGATCAGTTGACGTTCGTGAGGTGCATAAAGTCGAAGTAACACAAAGGATTGCCTCTTCTTTGTTCATTGAAGTGGTGCAAAGAGGAACCGATAAACTGCCTCAAGGTAATTAATTCATACTTCAGTTTAATCCAAAGAAGGAGCACTATATACTGAAAGGGTTGTGCAACTATCGGCAAGTGGTAGTGTTTGCTTTCTCGTATAACTTGGAAATGTGCTTTGAATACCCTCTAAAATGCTATAATCATCTTTATTTTAAGGCAATTTGGTGCGCAATTCGATGGTTTTTAAATATATAATCTGCCATTTAATGCTCATTTCTCCAAGGGCCTTCATCAGTAGTAACTTTTGCGTCTCACGGGTGCCTGCACCCTAAATTGACCTTCCATTCAAGAGGCAACTTTCTTCCTCATTTAAAAAAATTATATATTCGTGCCAGTGAGGGCGTCCTGAACTTGAGTAGGACACAACTGTATTTTAAATCTTCAAAAAATCATCGTCTTTCATCCAAGTAAAATATGTGCCAAAGAATGGT